GTCGAATCTTTTGATTTAACTCCGGAAAATATTTACAACATTAGTCTCAGGCTAGCTAGTCTTCGCTTAGCTCCCATCCGCTTAGTTTATCAACCTTTGGTAGTCTGCCTAGCCCCCGCCTAGCTAGTCACGTAGCTCCCATTGGTACTCCGTCTAGCTAGTCCCCGCCTAGCTAGTCCCCTCCTAGCTAGTCCTCGCCTAGCTAGTCACCGCCTAGCTAGTCCTCCGCCTAACTTACCAGCCTTGGGTACTCTACCTAGCTAGTCACCGCCTAGCTAGTCCTCGTTTATCTCCCATCTGCCTAGCTTACCAATCTTTGGTACTCCGCCTAGCTAATTCCAACCTTACTAGTCCTCGCCTAGCTCCCATTGGTACTCCGCCTATATTCCATCCGCATACCTTACCAACCTTTTGTACTCCGCCTAGCTAGTCCCCGCCTAGCTAGTCCACGCCTATCTTCCATCCGTCTAGCTTCCTAACTTTTGGTACTTCGCCTAGCTAGTTCCCGCCTAGCTAGTTTTCGCCTAGCTCCGATCCGCCTAGCTTACCAACCTTTGGTATTCTTTCTAGCTAGTCACCGCCTAGGTAGTCATCGCCTAGCTCCCATCCGCCTTAGTTACCAAGCTTGGGTAATCCGCATAACTAGTCTGCGCCTAGCTAGTTCACGGCTAGCACCCATTGGTACTTAGTCTATCTATTCCCCGCCTTGCTAGTTCTCGCTTAGCACCCATTGGTCCTCCATCTAGCTAGTCCCCTCCTAGCTCTAATTGGTACTCCGTCTAGCTAGTCCTCGCCTTGCTCGCATCCGCCTACCATACCAACATTTGGTACTGTGCCTAGCTAGTCCTCGCCTAGCTCCCATCCGTCTAGCTTACCAACCTTTGGTACTCCACATAGCTAGTCCTTGCCTAACTCCCATCCATCTAGCTTACCAACATTTGGTACTCCGCGTAGCTAGTTCCCGCATAGCTAGTCCTCGCTTAGCTATTCCTTGCCTAGCTCTCATCCGCCTAGCTTACCAACCTTTGGTACTCCGCCTAGCTAATCCCCACCTTACTAGTCCTCGCCTAGCTCCCATTGGTACTCTGCCTAGCTAGTCCCCGCCTAGCTAGTCCTCGCCTAGTTCCCACCCGCCTAGCTTACCAACCTTTGGTACTTCGATTAGCTAGTCCACTTCTAGCTCCCATCTGCCAAGTTTATCAACCTTTGGTATTCCGCCTAGCTAGTCACCTCTTAGCTAGTCCTCGCCTAGCTCCCATCCGCCTAACTTATCAACTTTTGGTACTCTGCCTAGCTAGTCGCCGCCTAGCTAATCCTCGCCTAGCTCCCATCCGCCTAGCTTTCCAACCTTTGGTACTCCGCCTAGATAGTCCCCGTCTAGCTAGTCCTCGTCTAGCTTTCAATGGTACTCCGTCTAGCTAGTCCCTGCCTAGCTAGTCTTCGCCTAGCTCCCATCCGCCTAACTTACCAACCCTTGGTACTCCGTCTAGTTAGTTCCCACCTAGCTAGTCTTCGCCTAGCTCCTATCCGTCAAGTTTATCAACCTTTGGTAGTCCGCCTAGCTAGTCTTCTAGCTCTCATTGGTACTCCGCCTAGCCAGTCCTCGCCTAGCTCCCATCCGCCAAACTTTCCAGCCTTGGGTACTCTACCGAGCTAGTCACCGCCTAGCTAGTCCTCGCCTAGCTCCCTTCCGTCTAGCTAGTCCTCGCCTAGCTCCCAGCTGCCTAGCATACCAACCTTTGTTACTCCGCCTAGCTCCCATCCGCCTAACCTGAGCTCGTCACCTCGTCGAAATCATGAGCTCGTCACACTGCAGAGACCTTAAGCTCGTCACCTCGTTGAAATCATGAGCTCGTCATATCGCCGACACCACGAGCTCGTCACATCACCGACACCATGTTCTCATCACACTGCAGAGACTTTGAGCTCGTCACCTCGTCGGAATCATGCGCTCGTCACACTGCAGAGACTTTGAGCTCGTCACCTCGTGAAAATTAGGAGCTCGTCACACTGCAGAGACCTTGAGCTCGTCACCTCGTGAAAATCATGAGCTCGCCACACTGCAGAGACCTTGAGCTCGTCACCATGTCGAAATCATGAGCTCGTCACATTGCCGACACCACGAGCTCGTCATACCGCGAAACCGTGAGCTCGCCATATCGCGAAAACCGTGAGCTTGTCATATCACCGAAACCATGAGCTCGTCACACTGCAGAGACCTCGCCTTTGCCTAGCTCCCATCCGCCCAGCTTACCAACCTTTGGTAGTCCGCCTAGCTAGTCCTCGCCTAGCTCCCATCTGCCTAACTTACCAATCTTTGGTACTTCATCTAGCTAATCACCGCCTAGCTACTCCTCGCCTTGCTAATTCTCGCTTAACTCCCATCCACCTAGCTTACCAACCTTTTGTACTCTGCCTAGCTAGTCCCCGTCTAGCTTGTCCTCGCCTAACTCCTATTGATACTCCGCCTAGCTAGTCCCCGCCAAGCTAGTCCTCGCCTAGCTCCCATCCGCCTAGCATACAAACCTTTGGGACTAGCTAGTCCTCGCGTAGCTCCCATCCGCCTACCTTACCAACCTTTGGTACTTCGTCTAGCTAGTTCTCGCCTAGCTCCCATCCACCTAGCTTAACAATCTAGCTTTCATCCGCCTAGTTACCAACTGTTGGCACTCTGCTCAGCTAGTCCCCGCCTAGCTAGTCCTCGCCTAGCTCTCATTGGTACTCCGCCTAGCTAGTCCTCGCCTAGCTCCCATACGCCTAGCTTACCAACCATTGGTACTCCGCCTAACTAGTCCCCGCCTAGCTAGTTTTCGCCTAGCCCCCATCCGCCTAACTTACCAACCTTTGGTATTCTGTCTAGCTAGTCACCGCCTAGCTAGTCATCGCGTAGCTTACCAACCTTTTGGTACTCCGCCGAGCTAGTCACCGCCTAGCTAGTACTCGCTCAGCTCCCATCCGCCTAGCTTACCAACCTACATTCTATCTGTCTAGTTTACCAACCTAGCTCCCATCTGTCTAGCTTACCAATCTTTGGTACTCCGCCTAGCTAGTACTCGTCTAGCTCCCATCCGCCTAGCTTACCAACATTTGGTAATCTGACTAGCTAATCCCAGCCTAGCTAGTCCTCGCCTAGTTCCCATCCGCTTAACTTACCAACCTAGCTCCCATCCGCCTAGCTTACCAACTTTTGATACTCCGCCTAGCTAGTCCTCGCCTAGCTCCCCTTGGTAGTCCTCGCATAGCTCCCATCCGCCTAACTTACCAACCTAGCTCCCATCCGCATACCTTACCAACTTTTGGTACTTCGCCTAGCTAGTCCTCGCCTAGTTCCCATTGGTACTTCGCCTAGCTAGTCCTCGCCTAGCTCCCATCCCCCTAGTTTACCAACCTTTGGTAATTCGCCTATCTAGTCCCTGCCTAGCTAGTCCTTGCCTAGCTCTCATCCGTCTAGTTTACCAATCTCTGGTATACAACCGAAGTGTTCATGCCAAGCTAGCCCCTTGCCTAGCTCCTATTCCGTATAAATGTGACCAAACTCGGATCACAACCGGTCCTCAATGAACCGCTACTTATGACCATATTAGATATGATCACATTTTTTAATGTATTTTAGTTTTCAACTTTTTCATGCTATGTTTCGTCCATGACTAATCGAACTTGTATGTTTTTCGATTTGATACATTTATTTCGTATAATTTACAAAAGAAATAGGCATATTTTACCTCGAAATTGATTTGCAAATGTATGTTGTGCTGAGTGCACGTGACATCTTCATACATACCCCAAAAATCTACCAAAGGTACAGAGTTTGTGAAGATCAAACAAGCCGAACAACACTAAATACAGATTCCAGATATATCATCAACACGTACTTTCTAATAGATATTCTAATTCTCGCACTGCCTCAAGTAAACTGCGACACAGGGCTTCAATTATCGACCCCATTTTATTTTCCACACAACTCTATATCTCTCTTGGATGGCCTATAACTCAATGCATTGAGGCTGTATACGCAGAAATTGGCCTGTCTGGATTTTACCGAGATCTCGTCCGACGTTGTCTGGAAGCCGGGCACATTGCACGATGAAGACGAGGTGGAAATCAGGCTAGCCCTGCATGAGTTTCCAAAGTACTTGTCTCTTGCACATTGAACCCCATCAACAGAAGGTACCTCCAACTTGTAAATCCCATATCTGTTTGTAGTTCTGTTGACTGAAAATGATATCTGCTCAGTGGTTCTTGGTGAAATTGCTTTGAACATGCACTCTATTCTCACCTCAACACCTGTTTCAAATATAGACAAGTACTAATATTGCTGCATTACCCTCTTAAAGTCTGAAATTACTCAACAATTGATATAAAATTAGAAAGCAACAAGAGTTGAGGGTGGTAACTCAGGTAAAGAGAAAAAGGATAAGTGATGGACCTGACATGAAGTAGCTGTGCTTAGAGAAGGAGTTATTGGAGCAGATATCACAATAGACCATGCCCATAACTGTAATTTGAGGGTAAGAGGGAGATCTTTTTGCTGCTTCAACAGTTAACAAGAAAGAAAATAATACCAAGACAACAACAATTGAACACATGATTGAAGCAAACTATATTGGAAAAGCCAAGATTTGAGACCTTTTTTTTTTCTTTCTTTTTGGATGTTTTATGAAGTAAAGTAGCCAATGAGATGGCTACATATTAATGTAGTTCATCATGTTCTCATGTGTGTGTGTGTGTGTGAGAGAGAGAGAGAGAGAGAGAGAGAGAGAGAGAGAGAGAGAGAGCTTGTGACTGTGTTTTTTGTGGATAATGAATTAAATGCCAGTTGTGTTTTTGAGTACAAACTCTAAAGAGGCGCTAAGAGTTAAATCCCCTTTTTCCCTATGCATATCAAACAAAATCATGTGAATTTCATTTGGCGTTATTGCGTAGCAGGTGTGTGTAGGAAAGAGATGATGAATTGATGAGATGAGAGTGTTTTTTATTTTATTTTATTTATTTATTTATTTATTTTTTTGGTTGATGGCCTTGTCTAAGGCCAAGGCCCGCCCGGCCCGCCGACCATGCATGGACCCGGCCTAGACCCGGCCCGATCAAAACCGTTGACCACGGGTCCGGGATCGGACCAGATTTCCGAAGGATCATGTCAGGGTCATCCATTCCATGACCCGGCCCAGCGGGCCCAGGCTGGGCCAGGCCGATGGCCCGTTTTTCTTTTTTTTTTTCCTATTATTTTTT